CTCCTCCTGGCCACCGAACCCCAGCAGAAGTCCTATTAACCACTTCCACTTCTGACTCGTTAATGGCCCCTCCTTTGCTCTCCCCATTTCTCTTGAAGCCCACAGTTGGAAGATGATGGCATCACAGTTTGGAAAGTCCCTGAATGGATGCCAACCATGTCACACTGGTGTAGGTGAGTGATGCCACTCCTGAGATTTTAGGGCTCACTTGTTACTGCAGCAGAGCCTAGTCTCCCCTAGCTAAATCACAGAGCCTGACTTCCAAAGGGCACAACACTTAAACCAGGACATCTTTACCTGTCCCTCCTCTCAGGGGAGTCCCTCTTTCTCTTGACTCCTCCTCCTCAGGGAATGGGGACCAGTCTTGCCCACCCCAGCTTCCTGCCTGCACCCATTGTGAAGACACTCACTTTCAGTTTGCGGGGGTATCTGTCACTGTCTTGCAAATTGGTTCCAGTGGCCAGCATAGAACTCTGGAACTTCCCAGGGGAGTTCTTGGATCTATGACACCCATTCCACACCTTGGGTTGGGCCTCAGTGTCCCCACAAACACCATAAGGGCCTCAGAGGGGCTTTCCTGCTCTGACACTGACCAGCTGACAAGAGCACAGTGAAGAGGGACGGCCATGGCTGGCGTCGCCCTGCACCCGGCCCAGCCTCCTCCCTGCAGGTGCCCATAAACCACGTCCCCTGGCTGGATAAGCACTTGCTACAGGCCGGGCCCTTCTGCCCACCTCCTGCTCGAACCAGCTCCCAGCCCCGCCCCTGGCTCAGATCCCCAGGCCTCCTGCCACCACGCCCTGACACCTGCATCTCGGCCCTGGGGGTGGAGAGTTTGTCCCTTATCAGCCCTCTTACCGACCCCTCCCTGGTTACACAGTGGTGTGGAGCAGAATTCCTGGCCAGGACGGATCCGCCACTGTCAGCTCCGGCCATCGGTCCAGTGCACGCGGAGGAAAGGTCCCCGCAGGACTGTCCTGGAGATGGGAGAGCAAGCAGGAAAGAAGCAGAAGGACCCCCAAAGGAGGAGGGACACCCAGGGCCAGGTGGACAGAGGCCAGCTGTGAAGGGAGGCCCAGGAGAGGAAGCAGAGACGCCGGAGAAGGGCCAGACCCCACGCCCCGCGACCGCCTTTCCTCAGCCTCCACCTGCAGGACGGCAGGGGCCCAGGGCCCCAGAGGCTCCTTCTGGAGTCTGGAAGCAGCAGGATTGAAGGAAGCCCAGGTTTCTGGAAAGATCCCCCAAGCTCCAGCGCAGCCCAAGGCCAAGTGGTCAGCTGGGGCCCACGGGTGGCACCCCAACCTCCCAGGGGCTGGCCAGAGCCCGCAGGAAGGGCCACAGGCCAGAGAGAGGGCAGAGGTGGACACACTCCTTCCCCGTCTGGAGGCCGACCTGGGGCGTCCTGCCACCCCTGCTCACCCTTGTCTCTTCGTCCTCCCCTGGGCTGTGACCTCGGGGACCCTGGCCTGGGCTGGTGATTGTGAAAGCAGCCGCGTCTCAGAGCACCCCAGGTTGGCAGTGCTGCCTCCTGTGACTTCAGGTTGCTGAGGCTGAGGGCCCAGGACGCAGGCCAGTGGCCTTCCTGCAGGGAGCCGCCCTCTGGGTCCCGGGTGTATTTGGAAGTCCATGGAAGTCCCCGCCGTCTCAGGATCGTGCCTGGATCATCCAACGGGAGGCTCCCCCTTCTGCAGCTCCACCTGCCCTCTGGGTCCCGCGGGGCTCAGAGAAGGAAGCACGCCACCCTCTGCGGGCACCCTCCTGGGCACACGGAGCCCGCCACACACAGCTGCCCTGAGGAGGCGCCCCGGGGCGCCCTGCTCCCTGCAGGGGCATGGAGGGGAAGAGCTCGGGGTGCTGTGAGGCCCCCAAGAAGCTGGGCCTGTCCTTCTCCATCGAGGCGATCCTCAAGAGGCCCACGGAGAGGAGAGGTGCAGCCGGGTCACCAGGGGCCGGTGGAGGGAGCCCCGGGCAGGCAGCGGTGGAAAGTTCCAGGCTGGCGAAGTCCCCGCAGCACCAGCCCCCGGGTAAGTGGCTTCCGGTCATCTCTCTCCGTTCCCTGGGCTCCGGCAGGGAAAGCAGAAGGCAGGGCCCTGATCTCAGAGGGGCCGGGTTCTGGGCTGGTTGCCATATATACCCTCCAACCCGACCTGGGACTGGGTGCTGGGTGCAAAGCTCCAGGGCTCCATGTTGCAAAATGCAGGGACCGAGGCTTGCGCTTGTCACCAGCCACCGCGGAGAATGCTGTGGCCACTTACTGGCGATGTGGCGGGCGCCGTCCTTTAGTTTCAGTATCATAACTAGACAGGAGAGGAACTCTCAGGAGAGCTGGACAGTGTCCCCAGGTTACCTGAGATCAGGGCCTGGCTCAGCTGTCCCCAGGTCCCTGCTCAGCCGGGCTCATGAGCTGAGCTGGGCCCGCATGTCCTCCAGTGGCTGAAGTTTTGCCCAGCGTCTGCCCTCTCTGATCCCTCTGCCAGTGGCCATCCCAGGGAATGTCCTATTAACAGTGACCAGACAGATTTCAGAGCCCTCCTCAGAGCCTACTTGACAGGGGGCGAGGTGGTGCTGGGCCGGGAGGTGGACACACACCTGCTGACGGCAGTCCAGGTATGGGTCTCTGTTCTGCCCTGACCCGCTGTGTGTCCTCACAAGGTCCCTGTCCCCTCTGGTCTCGGCTTTACCCTGGGTGAAGTGGCTAACAAGAGGGAAGAAGAGAGTTGACACCGGTGACATCTTGAGGGTCACTTGAGTCTGACAGTCCTCAGCCCTGAGCCGCTCACAGGAGGCTCCCAGCTCTCCCCCCTTTTCACGCTTAAATCCAAGAAGATGCTAGAAAGGGAGCTCAGGGGGCCCTTGACGTCACCGCTGCCTTGAACAGAGCGCTGCCCCGTGGAGCCTCCCACAGAGGAGGCTGACGGGTGCTCAGCTGCAGGCAGGGGACCTGGAGGAGAGGTGCTGGTGGCCCTGTAGCTGGGGCTGGCGGTGGAAAAGGGCCCCTGGCTGAATTTTCTCAGGTTCATTAACATCTTCCAGGCGACCGGGCTCCACAGAAGCAGTTTCACTGAGGCTCCAACCCGGGTCTCTTCTGCTGCTTCTGTGTGAACCCATGAGCACCCTGCGTGTCACAGTGACGCAGAGAGAGGAGACAGGCCCCGTCTCTCCTACCAGGACAGCTGCCCCTCCCCGCCTGGCGAAGGAGGCCATTCTCCCAAGGCCTCTGCTGAGGACTCGGGCAGACCCCATGTCCTCCTGCTGCACCCAGAGCGGACCCTGGGAAGCACTGGCCATGACATGGGAGAGTGCCCCGCCTCCAACACAGAACTTTCATGGCCACCTTCGCATGTCCTGGTCACACTCAAGAGAAGATAAAACACCCATAAACCCTGCACAAGCAGTGAGCTCTAGAACTGAAATCCTGGTGACCAGGATCACCTCTTCTGTCCTGATTGTAATTTTTTGTTTGTTTGTTTTTGGTGCTGGGGATCGAACTCAGGGCCTTGTGCATGCAAGGCCAGCGCTCTACCAACTGAGCTATATCCCAGCCCCCGCCCCATTGTAATTTGAAGCTACCTCCCCCACTCTGCTGAAATTGGACGTTCCAGAAAGCTTGGGGATGGTCCCACTGGTAGTTTTCAAGGTGACATTGATAGGCACGCAGGCAAAGAGGTTTCTGTGGACCGTTCTGTAGTCACTTTTACGCTAATCTTAGAGAAGCTGTTGGTGACAAAAGGCGCCGTTATCTATCTGTAGTCATGATGTGAGGGTTCTTTGCTTGTTTGTTTGCTTGTTTGTTTGTTTGTTTGTTTGTTTGTTTGTTTTAGTTGTCAGTCACCTTTATTTGTATGCGGTGCTGAGAATCTAACCCAGGGCCTCACACATGCCAGGCAAGCACTCTGCACTGAGCTATGACCCCAGCCCTGTTTGTTTGTTTAATAAGTGTATTTATTTGAGCAAAAAGAAAAAAGTCTATGGAGGACATTTTTCAAAAATCATAACATAGACGGCTGCAAATATGTCAGACAGTCCAAAGGTAACTTGCAGAAATGGCAGATGATCTAGGGTGGCTGTGCCGTGCTGTGTGGAGGGGAGGGATTTGGGAAACCTGGCCTCGAGGCCCGGATCCGGCACTGACTCACAGGGAGACCTCGGGCAAGACCCCTCCCTCTCTAGGCCTCAGTGTACCCCAAGCTGGGCTATGGGCAAGGCCCCTCCCAGCTCTGACCCACCCTGGCTGATTCAACCACAAACCAGCTGCTGGAAACCTTAGGGTGATTCCCGGTGGTCATTTTCTACCTGAGGAGGAGGGCAAGCCCTCCCAGGGCCCCTGGCCCAGCCAGTGTGGGTGGCTGATGGCCGATGCCTCTCCCATCCACTGTCCTCCTCCTCCTTCCATGCAGTGCCCCCAGATAAGGACAGCAGGACTAGAAATAGCAAGGTCCTTCCGCCCCAGATCAACGGCGGAATCAACTCCTCTTTGTCTCTCATTCAGCATTTACCGGCCGCATGGAATGGCTCACAGACACCCCCTCCCATCCAAATGACGCAGGCGCTTACAAAATTGCAGCATCTCGGGCCCAGTCTCCAAAATCTGACTGTCCTCCAGGGCAGGACCCGGGAGCCTGTGTTCTAAGCACCGTGCTCCGTGGTACTGATGTGGGGTCCACCGTGACTCTTGGAGGAGGTCTGGGCTCAGAGCAGTAAGTGACTTCTTCCAAGCCACAGAGCCC